AAAGAAACCTTAAAAGTCTTGTGTGGATTTCCTCTTCCAAGCAGAGACTTTCTGCATTTCTATGATAGATTTGGTTTATTATTGAAAGAGATTAGACGATATACCCTGAAGCAGGATTATTGTTAACTGCCAGCAACTGATATTGATCTGGTAGTGACAGATTGGGCATTTGCCTGGATGAAAGATTTGATTGTTGCATGATCAGATGCCATACTTTATAGCATAGCTCTGACCAGTGCCATTTCACCATTATCTATGTTTCAGTCTGATTAGTACACTATCTCCTTAGAAGTTTGCAGTGTTTAAAGAACTGTGTCTTACAAGCCTGATGTATTGCAAGTTCCTGAATATACTTCATGAACATACGCTGTGTGTCTCACCTGTGTGGCACCGCATATACAGCAAACACACCAGTAAGTGAAGTTCAGAGCTTAACATCAGTCATTCACGGATCTCACAAACAGCTGGGATCCCAACTGGCTAAATCGACTTACGATGGGTACACCGTGATGAAAATGAATTAATAGGCAAAGTAGCTGTCCCAAAAAAAAATAAGTCAATACTGGAAAACAGTGTGGTAAAATCGGAGTAAGGAAATGTAGGTTTGAGTTAATAGGTACCAAATCAATCTCCTGTTTTTGGGTAATTTTTACTAGAATCTCTATGAGATGTTTATATTAAGAAGCTGACGTAAGCTCCACGTGGAAATTCTCAGGAACTATTTCTGCATCTTTCTGTGTAAATTATTTAGGGGCTTCAGGTGGCTCAGTAAGTGAAGTGTCTGACTTAGCTCAGGTCATGATCTCATTTGTTCATGGTTAGAGTCTCCCCTCGATCAGGTTCTTGCTCGTGACAGCTCCATGGCCTGGAGCCTTGCTTCCAGCTTCTGATCGGCGCCTCCCTTCTCTCTTCCCTCCCCACTCAGTGTCCCTGTCTCTCTCAAAAATAAATGAACATTAAAATCATTATGTTTAATTATTTAAACAGAAGATATTAAGTTTTAATTTTTGCTTGAAATCATTCCAAAATAAAAAGTTAACAAAAATCACAGTTCAAACCCATATAAATGTGAATTGCCAATCTCACCAACACAGTTTCAGAATGAGCCTTTCAACAAAGAAATTTATTTGCCTGGCATTTCGTTTTTCACACTTACAACATGAAGAAACCTGCTCACCAGAAACTGGAAAGTGGGAGAAATGGGCGACTCAGCTCTTCTTTACCATCCATGTTGCTTTGAGCTGAGTACAACCTCTCTGAATATAGCTTGTCACCTGTAAGTGCAGTGATTAAATATTTATATAATTACTCCTTTACAGTGTTCATAGGGGTGTTGGGCCATTGTCCAGTAATGATTTTTAAGGTAATAATAACAACATACTATAAAGCACCATACACAATATAAAGTTTTGGACTGCTCAATATCCAGACATACCCAACATTTAAGTGAGGGATGTTTATCCCACCCCATGTTTTGAAGTTTGTTTTGTTTTCTTCAAGAGGGAAGACCACCTGCCTCCAGTCTCCCCTACACCTTTCTGCTCCTCACACCCTGCCACTCCAGCTCTGGGTTGACTGATCTAGGCAGAAGAACTGGGAAATGGCATTGGTCTGGGGCCCACCTCCTTCCACTTGGAAGCCCACATCTAACCTCGTGTGAGAGACCCTGCCCGAAGTGAGCTTGCACATGCTGATGAGGACTGGGTTTCAGGATTAAAGTTTATGTGCATGAACATTCTTCAAATGCTGTACTCTAACCAGTGATGCTGGTGATCTTTTTCTGCTTCTTGCTTAGTTGTGGTTCTCACTTCCGAATTGGAAAATGAAGGTTATAGCACTCGCCCTCCAAGACCCTAACAACAGCTAAACGTTTCACATAACGAATACATTTCACTTCTAACTATAGAAAACCTGAAAATAGTTATACTTTTATGATCTTTTTGTTTTGTTATGTTGCCTTTGTTCATTCGACAGGCTCCATAGGAATGGAAAAAATGTTGCCTCTTCAGATGTATAGTGGCAGCCTGTAAACCCTTGGATTATCAGTTTAATGGTTTAAAGTAGGTCAGATTAGACAGATGTGGAAACTTCTGACACCCATTAGTACCTCCAACACCCCAGGATGTGGCAACAATCAGCTCTGGTGGGGGATGAATTAAGGTTCATTGCTATGAGTAGAGGTGTTTTCTCTGCAAAGTCGCACCGCCTCTCAGTTCACTGGATCCCAAAGGAATGAGATTAGGAAACTGGGAATTGAAAGTGAGCTCTGTGGTTTTATTTTGAAAGTTTCAATTTTTTTTCTGAGCCATAATTTCCACAATAGAAAAAAAAATTAAACTCCACGTAAAAAGAGGATGCGTGTTCTAGACTGAAAATGTGATCATCAAAAGGTATTCAGTTGTTCTTATCTTTATTCAGATATTATTTATCCATGAAGATTATTTACCATGACCTAGAAGGAACAAAGAACAAATCAAACACAAAACAAAAACAAAAACAAAAACAATCTGGTTTCTAAAAGGTAACATCAGTCCCAAAAGCCACATGTAAAAAAACATATCCATCTTACTTAATAAAGTTTCCTTAAGCATTCACTTGGAGTGTA